ATTACTAGCCTGGACTGGATGGGGGTGAGGCTTCACCATGAGTTTCATGGGGAAGCTGAGAGAGAGTTTCCATTAAGGAGTGTGCTGACCAGCCAGCAGGCAGGATTTCCTCACACTGCTCTGCTCAGCCCATACCACCTCCCTGGGCCAAACACCTCGCTGCTCACTGTTTTCCTAACAAGGTGCAAAGCCAAGGTCTTGACTGGCAGTGATTGTTAAAGATGGGAAGGGATGGTGTCAAGAGGATAGAGCCAGGCTCTTCTTGGTGTTGTCAATCAGTAGGACAAGAGGCAATGGGCAGAATCACAGAATAGCTAGGGTGGGAAGGGACCACTGGAGATCATCTAGTTCAACCCCCTGCCAAGGCAGGGTCATCTGGAGCTCGTTACATGGGAATGCATCCAGGTGGGCTTTGAATGTCTCCGGAGAGGGAGACTCCATGACCTCCCTGGGCAGCCTGTTCCAGCGCTCTGCCACTCTCAGCATAAAGATGTTCTTCCTGATGTTGAGATGAAACTTCCTGTGTTATCATTTATGGCCACTGATCCTTGTCCTGTCACTGGGCACCACTCATAAGAGTCTGGTACCATCCTCTTGGCACCCACCTTTGGGATATTTATATGCATTATTGAGATATCCTCTCAGTCTTCTCTTCTCTAGAACCAAAGAGGCCCAGCTCCTGCCATCTCTTCTCATGAGGGAGATGCTCCAGACCCCTGATCACCTTTGTGTACCTCTGCTGGACCTTTTCCAGTGGCTACTTGCCTTTCTTGTACTGATGAGCCCAGAACTGGACACAGTACTCCAGACATGGACTCACCAGAGCTGAGTAGAGGGGGAGGATCACCTCCCTCAACCTACTGGCCACACTCTTCCTGATGCACCCCAGGATACCACTGGGCCTCCTGGCTGCAAGGGCACACTGCCAGCTCACAGTCAACTTGTCTTCCACCAAGATTCCCAGGTCCTTCTCAGCAGAGCTGCTCCCTAGTAGGTCAGACTTCAGTCCGTGATGGTACTTGGGGTTATTCCTCCCCAGGTGCAGTACCCTATGCTTGTCCTTGTTAAACCTCATTATGTTTCCATCCACCCAATTCTTCAGCCTGTCAAAGTCCCACTGAATGACAGCACAGCCTTCAGGTGTATCAGCCACTCCTCCCAGTTTTGTATCATCAGCAAACTTGCTGAAGGTATATTCTATCCCTTTGACCAGGTCACTGATAAACAAATTAAATAAGACTGGATCCAGTACTGATTCCTGGAAAATGCCACTGATACAGGCCTCCAACTGGCCTGTGATCACAGCACTGTGAGTTCTGCCATTCAACCAGTTCTCAATTCACTCTCCATTCATCTAACCCACATTTCCTGAGCTTACCTATGAGGGTGTTATGGTAGACTGTCAAAAGCCTTGTTGAAGTCGAGGCAGACAACATTCACTGCTCTCCTCTCATTGACCCATCCTGCCACGTCATCACAGAAGGCTATCAGATTGGTCAAGCCGGATTTTCCCTTGGTGAATCCATGCTGACTACTCTTGATGACCTTTTCTTTTACAAACTGAAGCACAGGAAGTTCCAACAGAACATGAGGAAGAACTTCTTTACTGTGAGGGTGGCCATGCATTGGAACAGGTTGCCCAGATGGGTGTCAAGTTCCCCTCAATGGAAATATTCAAGAACGATCTGGACTCAATCCTGCAATGTGCTCTAGGGGACCCTCCTTGAGCAGGGAGGTTGGGCCAGATGAATCGCTGTGGTCCCTTCCAACCTTCCCCATTCTGTCAATTTTCACAGTGGCTGGCTGTTAATTCTAGTTAAATTCCATCCCTGGTAATTGCACTATTCCTTAAGGAATTCCTGCTGCTGATTCACCTGTGAAAGCCACAGTGGTCCCAGGTAGAGCCACCGAGGGTTGTCACAACAGGCTGCATAACTGGCTTTGGGGTGGGGCTCTTTCAGGGATTCTTGCTGATGTGTTTTGTATGGGATTTACAGACATTTACTAGGTCAGGGAGACTGAGCAAACAGGCTGTTCAGCTGTTGTTGACATGGTCACAGGAGAGAGAAGAGACTTGTGCTCCATTTCCTTAGTCAGTTAAGAATCTGGAGCACATCTAGGACCCAGAGTTTGCTCTGGAAGGTGAATAATACATTCTGTGTCAAATGCAGGTACTAAGAGTGCTTAGATCGTGATCTGCTTGCTTCTGGAGATTCCTGGATGTAAAGGTTTAGGTGCTTTCAGGCAGTAGTATCAGAGTGGAAAACTGTGAATCAAAATCTGTGCTAATGGAATTCTCAGGCTGCAGAGTGGCATCTCCATTCTTTGTGCAACAGAGATCCTAGAAAATAAGGTAATGCACAGGAAGGTATTGCAGCTGTGAGAAAGAAATTGACTTTAAGGTGTAGTGACTACAACGGCCAAGTCAAGAATAGGGTGTCTGAGTTCTCCTGCTACATTTAATATAATTTATATTAAGCAGAGCAGCTTCAAAAAGGGATATCCCCATTCAAAAGGAGTCCCTATATTTTTGTGGGTAGGACTCTTCCAAAACGTGTGCATTTGAATCACTTTGGAACACCTGAATTTAAGTCTATTCCCTGACTGAGAAGTGCTCAGATCACTTCTTTTTCAGGGCTGGATTATTCGTATCACATGGACCTATCAGACTTGGGAAGAATATCTCGTACACAGGTGCCAGCACAGTTTAAAGATAAACCAGGCATATAACACCCTTGCAGTACCTGATAGTAGGTTTCCTGCAAAAAAGGGCACACATATGAAGAATACATTGCCTGGAGAACCTTACTGCTGCTGGAAAAAAGGCAGACACCTGATGCCTCCTTGGTACTTTGCTGGTGATCAGAGGCTTGGAGATGTCTGAATTGGTGGTTTTTCATTAACTATCCAAGGCATGCTTGTGTAGATATTGCAAGGAGTCTTTCAATATGTGAACTTATAGAAAGGCTTTTCTCTGCAGCTCTTTTGGAACACATCAAAATGCTTTGCTTTCTAAAATGAACTGCTCCTAGCATCTTTTGCAAAGCTGGTAATGGAATAAGATCAACATTGGTCCACATCCTCTTTTTCTTACTTTCCCAAACTAACATTAAAATAAAATTCCTTTTACTAAACATTAGGTAGGCTTTTTCCTTTGATGACTCTTTGTTCCCAAAAGACAGCTCAAATCCAGGAAACATGGGAGAAGATTCAGTCACTTGAAGGGTGAAGATTTCATTGTTATTGTTTGCCAGCCAAATAACAACAATGCATGAGAAAATGCATATACTAAATAAAACTAATTGCATTATAAAGAGCACCAGGCATCCTATAAAAACCTGTTGCCTAAATGCATCTGTAACAATTTATCAGCAAATGATCTTCATGCAGTTAGCTGGGGGTTGACTGAGCTCTGCACTACAGACCACCAAAAAAAAAAAAAAAAAAAATCCTACATATCTCAAAATGCTGGGACAGTGGTTCAGCTGTTTCACCAGGTTCTTCTCTGTGTTAATTTGCCATATTTTATAAGGCATGTTACACATTCTTCATTTTTGTATTTTCTTTTCTTTCACTGCCCCTGTTATGGTTTGGCTCGACGTGCCCAAGAGTAAACACCCTGCAAAAGAATTTTTATCAGCTAGAACTGATTCAACAAATAGGTTTCACCTGAAAGTGGACAGCTTTACTCTCCAGGTTAAGGTTGATTTTTATCTATATTTTTAAACTTCTTAGACCAACAGGTAACGAAAAACCTAACTATGATAATGAAATAACACCAACCTACATTGCCTGATTTTTGTTGTTTGTTTGTTTGTTTGCTGTGGTTTTAACTTAGGTTTTGATTTAATATAACCATTACACAATCATTTCCCAACTGATTTTGAAGATATCAAATGTAGAGTAAATAGCAGATATATGGTATTTTCCCTTTTAAGAGGTGTTATAATTTTATATACCAGGATAACACCTGTGGATCAAGCCAACTCTGAGCTTTGGATAACTGTAGACTGGGAATATTGTGAAGATGTGACTACAGATTTGCTTATAGTTATCTTCTTTGCAAGAAAATCTATGTAAGTTATAGTGTCTGCTTTGTATTTCTATAGGCTGGAACTATGTTACTCATGGGATGTGGAGTATAACATTGATTTGGTGTTTTGATTCTTCTGTAAATGCAGAGAGAGAAGAAAACAATTGGACTCTTGCTCTTCACAGATGGGAAGATATGGTCTTTGATCTTAATGCTATAACTAGTAATCAGATGTTGGTTTTCTGGCTTTTAATGTGTGAATGAGTTGAAAGATGTTCTCAACTGGACTAACAAGCCATGTGTAGTGGGTGAATGATGCTTCGTGTAGCTCATTCTTGACACAGTTATGATATAAAACAAATCTAGGAAGGTCTTTTGATCTGTGAGTTAAGGCTGCCTGTGTTTAAAGAGACAAGGCTGGGAGTATATGGAGGCTTTGAAAAGCCATGCATGGTTGTACCCTTGCCTTTACCCTATTTTTGCTTATCTTTCTGTTTGCTAGCTACAGTGCTTTCTGTTAGAATAGTGTTAAGATTCACTTCATGTAAGATTCACTATTGCACCTCCCCTGAGTGGAAATAGCATGGTGAAATCTTACTAGACCTATAGTGTGTATGTTTGGGCTTGGGAAAGGACAGTGCAGCTCTTGTGACCATGCAGCTGCACAAAACCTGCTTGTTTCCTCTTTATCAATGAACAGCACTGAGCGCTTAAGGAAGTCAGCAGTTGTATTTTGCTTGGAATTATATGTGAAGGAGGATCCTCCTTCTTGTCATTTTATTTATCATTAACAGCCATTTTAATTTCTTCCCAGCGGCAATTACACTGATATCACCACATCTAAATCAGAAGTGACATTAGTGGTTATATTATGTTGACTGGGCATCACCTAATTTTTAAGTGGCATTCGCACCCCATCATTGTGATTATATCCCTTTCTAGTAAGTAATATAAGAAAAGATCTACATAATGGGAAAACATACATATTAATATATTCCATGACAAACAAGTTAACTTTACATATTAATCATGGTAAATAGAAGTCACGCTTTACATTTTTCCTCTTCAGTACACTGTTCTCTTGACAGCTTGCTTTCCCTCTGGTTTTATTCTTTCCAACCCTGGTGTACATTCCACTGCCTCTGGTCACCCTGTTAGTCGCAGAAGGAGAAGGCAGGTCACATCCGTCTGGTTAAAATTTAAAAAAAAGGAAAAGACAATGTTACTGGAAAACATAATATTGCTGCTTTCCTCATTGCATTCAGGTCTGCATGAAGGCACTTGGATATGTGCAATAAACATATGTGTGTGATAATGAGATTGTTGGTGGAAAGTCATCTTGAAAAGACAAGGAGCAATTAAGCTTGCTTACTTATACAAGTTAGAATGACAAGATGCCAGTGCCGGCCCCGCTCATCCATATAATAGGGTTCTCTTTCCCTGCTTAGCTGTATTGGGAGAAGCGTTTCCTGTCAAACCTCTGCCATGACTCCACCATAAAGCAATCTGCCTTCCTCCCTTTTATACACCATTCATTCTCACACTCATGTCACTGTCCTGATTTCAACTGAGTGCCTGCTAGCAAGCACCTGTATTAGAATAATTTAAGAATTCAGTGCAAAGCCTTCATATAACTGAGTATTTATTTGTAGTGGTGTACTCTCTTGTCCAATTTTAATTGAATACTTAAAGATGTCAGTGGGGAGATGTGCAGGTTGCTCACAAATGTTTAATAATGCTATGTGTGGAGTCAACAAATAAAGCACCTCTCTTTCGCTATCTTGAAGATTTAGATAGGATATCTTGGATGTTATTGACAAGGAGAGAAGTGTGGAACAATAGGAACATATGATAGTGTTAGATAACAATAGCTATCCTTATGCATCTTGAATTGAATGATGAAGCCATCAATCAGAGAAATAGCCCTCTGAGTATATATCATTGACAAGATGAATACCACCAGTACATTGCATTTCTGGATGGAGATCTCAGTGATCTGTAATTCAGAAAGGCAATAAATAGCATATACAGTCAAACTAATTCTATTATTTTGAAAATCAGAAATTTTTTGCCCTCTGTTTGTTTTTTTTGTTCCTTTTTTTTTTTTTTTTTAGCTATGAGTCTTCTTCTGACACTGAAAGTACTTGTACTTTAATGACTTAAACAATGCTTTCTCATTTAGTATTAAGATGCCATTCTTCTCCACACACAGTATATTTAGTGGACACTTTCAAGGCTTAAAAGAGTATGAGGAGCAGTTCTTTCAAGCTGTTGTCTTGTCTCTTAATTAATTCTTACATACAGGCATGGGGATCCATTCACACTCTAGGAACGCTGTTAGAGTCCCTCCCCATAGCAAGAAGCAGACTTGGCATACAGTCCTTAGGTGGCATAGCTTCTGTTTCCAACCTAAATTTTCCTGTGTTCTCTTTGGAACGTCTGATAGTTCCTATCACCTCTACCTCTTTCAGGTTTGGGGTTTATTTTGTTTGGTTGGGTTTTGATTTTGTTTGTTTGTTTGGGTTTTTGTTGGGGTTTTTTTGTTGTTGTTGTTTTTGTTTTTTGGTGTTAATATCATGGTGTTTAGGTGTTATGTTTATAGCAGAGAAGCAACAGAAAAAAAGCTAGAGAGACAGAAGCTGCATTACAATAAATGAGGGACTCTCAGCTCGTAGTTTCCAGTTAATCGGTTTCATTTCTTTTACTTACATTTGAAAGTGAGTAAATATTCCATGGTCAGGGCCAAAATTTATCCTTGGATCTGTACACAGGTAACCAAACATAGAGCAGCAGTGTTACACAATGAAAATGGCTCTGAAGGAGAATAAAGAAAGAATATGAGGAAGGACTGTAATTAATGCAGTGCTCAACTAGCTATAAAATACAATTTAAGTAATGAACACTATTTGTATTGCTATTATTTCTAGTTGAGGTTTTGGTTTTTTTCTTTTTTAACATGGACTCCTTTGTGTTATATCATCTTCATGATGTAAACGTTTAGGTTCTCTTCATGTTTGTTTGCTACTATATAGAAGATAATTTTATTAAAAAATGGATCCTACCCGGGATGCTAGTGATTGCTGCAGTGAAGAATTTCTAGAGCCTTAGGGGAAAAAACCCAGTCACTGCCTTTCCCAGAAATATCTGAAAGGGCTAATGAAGTTTGGAGGATCTCAAAGGTATTGAAAATATATGGCCTGATGAGGGCAAGAAAAAGCTCAGGTCTTTCAGGAAAACAGCAGGTAAAAGAAATATCTCTAGCTTTCCCCCTTCTAAATCTAATCCAATGAAACCACCTTCAGGCCAACAAGCTTCTTGAGTGCACTTTGCCCTGGATATAGTGTTGTATTATCACCCAAAACATAAATAATGCAATAAAAGAAAATGGTTGATGTCTTCTTAATGAGCTACTGTTAAGGCACCCTTCCTTCTTATCTCCTTTCATAGCCTGATGCAAAGAGCAGCATCCAGTGATTTTGAGTGTATTTCGAGTGCTGCTAGGAAAGTACAAATGAGAAAACAGACTTAATTACACTGCTTACTGCATCTAGAGGTCCATGTGGTTTAACCGGCTGTGTTAGGACACCCTGTAATTTGGAGGAATTCTCCACGCACTGGCACCATAATGTACTGCTATCCAAAGGATGGTTAATAATCTAAAGTTGGCTGTTAACATTGCTGGAGCTGGTGTCTATAATTTCAGAAAGTGACCTGAATGACTCTGCAATGAAAGACTGAAATGTCACTCTCCTCCTTTACTTTGTTTGCCTTGAGCAAAGACTGCTCCAGATTGTGTACATCCAACAAGGTCCAAATGATGAAAGGGCAGTGCGTAAGCATAGATTCTGCTAAATCTCTGCTCTGCTAAACCTCCCTGCTCTGGCAGAATAGTAGGGAACGTGGGGAGGAGGGCACAGGAGAAAAATAAGACTATCTCCTCCAGAGCAGCTTCCACTGTGGCTATCTTTTCCCATCTCTGAACATGTAAAGGTGAACCTGGCTATAGGGACCTGGCTCTCCCATGCTCTTTAGCTGCCAGCTTCAAGTAAATCAGACATGATGCCTGTGCCTAAAGGCAAAGCAAATGGCTTCCATTATCCAGGTATTTATTTTGCACCTGCTGCTGTGACATCTGTGTAATAACAGTTACGTATGACAAAAGGTAGTCTGACCTGACTTTGAGTATTTCATCGCTTCTTTTCATTATGCTGAGTGAGCGAGCAAGCAGACGACTCATATTCTTCATGGGAGGTAGAACTGTAGAATCATTTAGGTTGGAAAAGACCTTTAAGATCATCAAGGTGTCACAGACCATCCAGCTGAGACACATGTGGAGCGGCAAGTGCAAAGACCTTTGCTGTCAGAAATCTTAAACCCTTGTTTCCGTTGTGCCTCGTTGGTACAGCTCAGATGCAGTAAAGGAGTAAAATACTATCAGTAAATTTCAGAAAGTTCAGTATTTGCATTTCATTTGGAAACCTATGACATTTTGGCGTATTTTCACTGGAAGGCCAGAGCAAGGCTGATTGAAGATCAGTGTCGGCATTAAAATATACAAGGTACGGAGAGCTGGTGCACTTCAGAGCAAAGCCAGCCTGCCAGGCACAGAACCAGGGCAACCCTGGGACAAAGAATAGAACTGTGTTAGGGTTGGTGGTATTTTTAAATACAGTATTGAAGAAAGAGAATTAATTCACTCACAACACTCTGAAATTGTATCTTCTTGGAGTGACACGGGTTCTTAGTGCAAATACGCTTGTTTTCAGACCTTCCTGCAATTTGCCTGATGTACAAATGTCAGAACTGGGGACTGTTCAACCTTTTGACTTACTGTGTGGTAGACAGAAAAGCACTTGAACAGTACCTTTTTCTTTATTCCTTTGGTACAGTATAGCTAGTTTTCAAGGACCAAGAAAGTTTTCCATCATTTGGATAAGCGTGGATGTCAGTTGTACTCTGTCAAAATTATGCTGGGAAGCGTCAACAAAATCTAAGCCTGAATGGGTTCATTCCCCACCAGCCATTATGAAGGCACTATTAACATTTTGTTTACTGAAAACATTAAGAGATACTGCTGCCATATATATATGACCAGTAAAGTTCTGACTATTTCTGGAAGCAATCATCTTCCCACCTTGCATTTGTCTCTAATTAGTTGAAAATGTGATATAATGCCAGAAAGATCAAAGAAAATAGTCTAGAAAGCAAGGACACTGGCAGTAATGCTCACTGCAGTATATTTGTGAAGCACATTTGTTTGATTTAAGACTGTACCTGACTTACATTGGGGGGATAAAAGCCTGTTGCTACTTGTTGAACTCATCTGAGGTGAAACACAAACTTTGGTTTTCCTCCAGTCACCTGAACACACCACTATCAACACAGTTTTTTGCCCCTCCTAGATACAACCCTTGTCTCTACAGCATCTTTTATCCACATCCTGCCACAACCTTTTAGGATTCTGGTTCATCCCATGTGAACCACTGCTGGACTGTGTTATACTTCTACAATTTCGACTTTGTGGAAAAGGAGGAATATTTGGCTCTTTACCCTTCACACCATGATGTGTATTTTGTGACTGCTGAGCATGTCAGCTTTTCACAAACAAGAAAGAAAGAAATGCAATAGAAGTTGCCTCATCACATTAACTTGTACCATTAACAGAAAGAAAGACACCGCAAATTAAATCACATAGGTGGAAAGAGTCCTTGGTGGGTTGTTTTGGGGTTTTCCCCCCTATCTAGCTAGAAAAGATCTCATCAATTTTTTAAAAAATTATGTCTGTTTCTGTGGTAAAATGGAAACTGGATACACTTGCCATAAATCTAGTCAAATTTTGTTGCAGAGCTTATGGGCGAAACTGTATGCTTTGTTAGGTTTACACATTACAAGACAAGGGTACTTGACCTACCCTCCTGAAAAGAGGAAAGCCTGAAACATTTTCAGCAGCCTTCCCCTCTAAGATTATTTCACCCCTCATTTTTTTATTTGGAGTAGAGAGGGAGCCAGACAGACAGAGGGAGAAGGATAGGGAAAAATATCTATCAAGTCAGGCTTGTGCCTTATGGGAGTGAGGGGAAGAGCTGTTGTTTTAAAATAGGATGTCCTTCACAGCCCAATTCATTTAGAGAAGAATAATACCTGAGAACTGGAGGGTTGCCTTTTTAGAAGTTCCTTTGGAGCAAGACTTGCTTTGCTGCCACCCACCATCAGAAACTGCAAAGCTGATGCCACTGCCACCATAGCTCTTACAGCATCACTGACTACACACACACTGAGTTTCCCAAGATTTTGGGAGTTATCTGGAGGCCCTGGGAAATCTCACTACAACTTGAGGTTAGGCAGGTCTGTTAGAACTGCTTTTTCCAGCAGCATGAACATACATACAGAAATAAGAGCCAGGTTCTCCTCAGAGTCTGTTTTTACACTGTTTCAAGAGCGTTATTCTTGTTACTCATTCACATTCCCTGGAGAGGAAACCGACTCAACATCTCTCTTATTTCTAGGCACTTGTGATAGTAGATTGAGGTTTCCCAGCTCAGGAAGAAGTCATAGGATCCAGTTAACTGACTCTGCATCTTGATTACTAAGCATACAATAAAACAATGTATTTTATCCACTTTCATCTGGCTACTCTTGCCACACCCTATGCAGGGAGGAAAGGTACATTAGGCTGCTTGTATGCAGGGGTTATTTTGAAAGTAATACAACCCAAGGAGAACCCCTCATTAGGGTTTCAATGAGGGATTACACATAGGTGTCAAGGGGCAAATAAGCCAGGCATTATTCTTGTTTAACATTATAAAATGGCTTTCAAAACTCTGGATGCAAATAAAACTTTCTGATAGGCTGCCAGGAACAGTCATGCCAATAATGCTATGCCACTGTGAATAAAGTTGGAGTGTTTTTCTTTGTAGCAATCAGACATGCCACACAATGCATTTCTGTGGAGTTCTCTTTCTTGGGTGGTTGAAATCACTTGGCTGGCGGCCTTGTGCCTTCCAGCTCACCTGAGGCATGCTGTAATCAGCCAGAACTGTGCTGCATGTCATGTCTTACTGCTTCCAGAAAATATACAAATTCCTTTCCTTCTATTCCCTTTGTGAATGAGTCCCTTAGGGGTATGGTTTTAAGACAGCGCACAAGAAGCCTGTGCACAGATCCTCGTAACGCATAATGAGATTTGTGTGCCTGCCTACTTTCTCTGAAAATGAACCCTAGAACAGCAGAAGTGACTTGGTCTGGCACTCACTTGGTCCTTTTGACCTCCCTCTTGTGACAGAAGAGAAAGACTTCCTCCTCTTTCTCTTAAAGAAAGCCTGCAGGGTGGGTTTTTATGATGTGCTGTCTGGTCTTGTAGTAAACAGAGACATTTCTTGAGGTTTTTAGAGACATCAGCCTCAGTTCTGAAGAAAGATAAGGTTGTTCAACACTTCATGGGGTAAACTTTTCTTAAGAGTACAGGTGCAATGAGTCTACATGTCTCATGACAGAAGGTTTGAATGCAGAGTTTTTGCTTGAAAATGACATCAGAAAAAAATGTAAGTCCAGGAGAGCTAACTGCTTATGACAAGTAGGAAAGTCTCACCTGCAGAATAGGTGCCAAGAGCTCATCCTCCTTCTAAACCTTTATTTGTTATTACAGCACTGTGCAGGATTCAGTAAATTTTCCCAGTGAAAATTCCCTATGCAGACTCATGTAAGCTTCTTGTACACAGTCCATTTTTAAAGTTTTTTTGGAAGATCTAAAACAAAAAAAAAAAAAGCCAGAGAGAGAACATGCTATAAACCACCGCCAAAACCTCTGGGCTATTATGGATTGCAGGAAGGTTTCTTGCAGTCTGCCAGGATCTGTGCTGAGTGCCTCGGGAGCTGAAAACTGCTCTTGTCCTGTGATAAGGGTTTTACATGAAGCGGGCTCTGCTGGAGGCACAGCAACTTACAACTCTTGTTGAACCAGCACTGCCCAAATGCCCCTTATAACCAGCATCAACTGAAGTGATGTCAAAAATCCTCCTGCCCTATAACCAAAGTAAAGAATGTGAGTTTAAGGGGGGTAGATACACGTTGGAAATTATAACTGAGATCAAAGTATTATGTGCCTAGGCTGTGTACACAGAATTATCAAGAATATCTTGCTGATAATCAGCAGGCTGTACCTCACAGTTTCTTGGGTTTTGCCTGGGGCCTGGTCTAGATGTACTTTTGTACTAGTGAAACACAGCAAGTGCAGTAAGTGTTTACCCCCTCTGATGTTACCATTTCATCTGGTCTAACAAGATCCAGCTTTTATTTATATCTGTGCTTGTGAGAGGTAGGAAGAATGCATCAGCCTGGGAGGAAATAGAAAAAAAATATTGTATTCTTGAGTACCTACTGAAAGAGTTAATGCAATGGGGCGTATGTGAAGGGGTTAAAACACTATACAGGTACAGATCCTGTGGCAATTACAAATGTTATTGAAATAAAAACCAGAAACAGGAAGCCAAAAAACAGGTCCCTAAGGCAGGCATCTGTCTTAAATGATATCATTTGTCAAGTTTCCAGCATTTTGTGGTTGTGAACACAAAAAGAAGTTCTGTGTTACACTAAGGATATTACATACTCATTAGTTGGAATGTTCCTGAAGTACATAATACAGGATTTTCATTTAATAAGAAGCAGCTACTTGCAACTGCGCTGCACATAAAATAAATTCCGGGCATGCTAATTGCCATTCAAGGATGTTCTACCTAATTTTTGACAGGTTTTTCTTCCCCTCCCCCCTTAGACTACACTGTAAAAATTGTAAGCAGAATGTATTAGTAAAGTTTTAAAATCTTTTGAGAATATTTTCTTATTTCTGAAATCTGGATTCCTGCAATGATGAATAATGAAGGCTTTAATGCAGATATTAAAGAAAAGAAAAAAAAAAAAGGAAAAAAACCCTCCTAGGATTATTGTAGCAAGAAGTGGAGTCGTAAGGAAGCAATACACATACATATACATGCATATCTCTTGGTACAATAAGTCTTTAAGTCATCACCCCTCCCTTAAAGAAAAAAACCTACCTTTAATTAATTGGTATAGTTCCTCTATCTGAACACTATTAGTGCATTAGTTTTAACTAATATATAAGCTTCCCCCTCGTTGCCCTGCCAATGACCTTAAGCTTCACATGGTAGGAAAGCCACTTGCTGTAGAATAGAATAGTAATTTATCCACCGTGATTGTTCAGCTCTGGCCCCTCTGTAAAACAGCAACTGACAATTGTGCTGTGTTACGGATGGTACGTTTGTGGTGTGGACAACAGTGTGCGGAGCGTCCCACTCACTTCCCTGAACACTGCAAGCAGGGTTTGAAAGTGACTGTAGAAAGAAGGGATCGCTCACTGCGCGATGTCCCTCCATTTCCAAATCTTTTTTGTTCCCCCACCAAATAACTCCCCCATTTTTTTCTCAAAAGAAAGATCAGTACTGTTTACCCAGCTTAAGTAAGAGCAGTATGTAGTTTTCCATTCATAAAAGTATGTCATCATAACAACAGTGATGAAAAAAAGAGGTTACTTTGCTTTTATTTTACCTGGGATTTCCCTACTTTTTTCCACATTTCAGGATTTAGCATATACCCTCAAAACACAATAAATTTCTATTCTGTAGCTTAAGGGATCCATCAGTTAAAATGTTAGTCTTTCATCTTTATTACCCTCCCATTAAAATGAAAGAAACCGGGACACACTTCAGTTTAGAAGAAGCAATTTAGTTGGTAATGTCCTTACTACTCAAGTCTTTACAAAGAGAGAAAGTGCGTTATTGCTTATATTTCACACATCTATCTGCATAAGAAGCAACTAAAGCTTTCAGACACATACGATATTAAATTTAATAATATTCTTTGATTAGATTATTTTATTACAACATTTTTCCATTACCAGTCATTTCCTGTACACATTTACATTCATAAAACCTGCAGGTTTTTCTTTGTTTGTATGTGTTTATATGTATTCATAAAGCAAGGAAAAGGTTTTCTGTTTTGCTACAGCTGTTGGATTCAAAAAGAACAGATTAATAACTAGTCACCACGTAGGACTAGGTTTTCTTGTACACTGCACCAGTAACCCTTTGCTATAATGAGGACACAAAGAGGCTCACATCAGGCTGCTCCTCTTCTTCATAACTCAAAAGCGTCACAGTGGCAATAGCCTCTAGTGCTATTTGTCTTTAGTGCAGTTGTGACACTTCGGCATGATCCATAATTTGGCAGCTATTTACCGTGACATTTCCCTTCAGTGCAGCCATAACATTCAGTGAAGCCATTATTTGGTTCCATTTACCATATAAATTGTATTGTCGTGCATGCATGCTAGCAGCTACATTAGGTACCTGAAAATGAGTAAATCTTGTAAAATAGATACTAACAGCCATTCAGCAGAGAAATTTCTTTACTCCTCAGACAGAAGTAGGAATATATATAATATCTGCAAACACTACTGCAAACTTTTCCTCGAGTGTAATCATTTGTATTTACATGACGCAGCAGTTATTCGTATCCACTAATGTATACATACATTACCTGTATGTATACACAAACACACACACACACACATATGCACACATGCAAACACATGGCAAACTATTGCTTGGTAGAAACCGAACTTAATTCAAAAAGGTATTAGGAGATTCCAGCATAGCAATTAAGTAGGAAGCATATCTGTAAAATGTGCTGAGGGTTGCAGGCCAGGAGAGAGCGAGTGAGTACGTGTGTGTCCGTGTGCGCGTGCGTATGCACACATGTGACAGACTCAGGAAAAAAGCCAGCTCTTCATCTAGTTCTTTGTTGTTTTTCCATGGAAGCATATGTGTGTAGGGAAGGGAAATTTGGTTATTAGCCTCGGCAAACAATGCCAGATTCCTCTGTAGCAAATTCATTTAGAAAGGTAAAATTAGGATGTAGTGCTAGCAACCACATCTCAATGAGCTGCTATTATTAATAGTATTATTATTTAAATCCCTGCTCTCTACATATAGTATACTTAGTACTTCCAAGGCAAATGTATTATTATTTTTAATCATTTAAGTCCCCACTGTGCACACAGCTTTTAATACACCTTTTTTGCAAGCATATTAAGTGTATTGTTATTAATCCCTTGCTGTGACTCTACAGTATTTCTTTTCCTTGTATGTTCAATGTCCTATCATCATTTAAACCTCTCACTGTGTGCATGCCATATACATTTTCCTAGCCATCTAATATTTAAACATTATTTAAATCCATCATAGCTTACTTATTCAAAGTCAGCCCTGCTCCCATAACTGTAAGTTTGCAGAATATACTTTTAAATAAAGAGTTGGTTTTTTTTCCTCCCTGCAAACCAAAATTTATTATGAAACTCATCAGAAAAGCTTTATCTGCATGTTTCAGAAATACTTTTCATCCTCTCTCCATCAATAATGTTCTCTTTCAGCAATTTAAGGGATAGAAATCGTATCTTTAAAACCAAAAATTACTTCTTCGTTCCAGATTCCTTCATGGAAGAGCAATCACATTTATCCTGAGCTACCCCTTCAGCTTAACATAGGCATTTGATGAAAAGGACAAGCCCAATGACCAAAGCCTTACCCAAACACCAAAAGGGCTATGAAATTTGTACACTGGCCAAACAAGTTGTGCATGTAGCAAACATAAAACTTTTATTAACCTGTGATCAATATGAAAGTGCTAAACCATAATCCTGAAGCCAAAATTAAAACCAACGACATGTCACATCTGAATACATATGTGTGAAACTTCCAAAGGTTCCTCTCTTCCCTTATTTTGATCAGTAAAAGAGCCTGGGGCAGTTGCATTATGCAATGTTATACATGAAGTAACGTACTAAAAAGAAAGTAGAATGTTTTAAGCCCACACAGAATCCTGTTACAAGAATATTTTTTTATGACAAAAAACATATGGAATTCACCTCAGAAACATTAAATCTATTTAACTGACAGCAATCAACACATCTGAAAATTGGGCCACTTGGATGGATTCTGGCATTTGACTGCAGAAATTTAATTTGAAAACTTGTTACCCATGCAACTCTTCTGTATGCATCACAAATATAACCAATTTTATTCTTTTTATTTTGCCATAGGATATCCCAAACAACATTTTTAAAGACACATTTATTGACCAAGGACATTGCCTTGTCTCTGACCAAGAAAAGACACCATGTGCCTAGAAATAAAAAAGTGAGAACTTTGCATGCTCTGATCTTGTATGGTACTTGAGTGTTTGCATCTTTCCAGCATCCAGTTGGAAGGCCAATAATTATGCAAAACACAAACCCAACACAATATCTATAATATTAAAGAGGAAGAATGTTTCTAACAGCAGATCTTGGTGACAACAAAAATCGTGGTGGTTTGATGTTTACCTTGCGTAAAAGAGAAATGGTAACAAAGACTCAAGCCATTCTGCTCTTCCCCAAAATCTACCAAAGTTAGACTATGCCTAGTAGTCAGGCATGACCCCAAAAAGGAACAGTTCTTCACTGTACACAATTCTTTATGATGAATTACATCATAATAAAAAATCACAGTAAAAATTATCTACATCAAAATTAGAAATACTTTTTCTACTGTCTGTATTGCTGAATAAAATACAAGTTTTTCTACGTTACTTTTAAAAAATGTGTGTACAGTCAGTCCTGAATAATGCCCTAAAATTAAGTTTACCCCAGATTTTTTCCTTCAAGCCCTAGACATTATCAGTCTTTCATTATGTT